CAGATGGATAAGCGGAGCAAATCCATCTGGCGGAGTCAGGTTAGCATTTGTCCCCCTCTGACCAGAGATATTTCTTGTCACCTTGTTAAAGGGCAGAGCTCAGTCTGTCTTAGAACACAGTACTTGACCTCAAGACTGAAAACGATTGTTTTCTACTTTCGGCTACTTTAGAACGCCAATAAAACGTAAAATAATAGCAAATATGAGTAACGACATATGATGACGTCATAAAAAAGGGCAAGGTCTCGAGCAGATCTGGTACCTACACGGTCCTACGTGCTCGTCCCGTTAGCTTCTTCTGCGCACTTTCAGGCATATTTCTGTGGTGAGCTTTGGATTCAGAGTCATTGAAGCTCACCTTTTTTTTTTGAAAATGACCAATGACCAAGTTCTAATCTGCACATGATGCACCAATTATTGTATTGCCTGCACGCTCTAACTTGCATAAAAAAGAAACACCACTTCCCATAGTCTAAAATCCAGGATAATTTATCAGACTCGCAGGCATCTGTGAACAACTATCGATATCAGGGAGAATCAGGATATCGGAGAACTGGGGGGACTGGAGCGGGGCAGAGCGGAGGATGTGGGATTTCAGGGTTACTCTGATGGACTGAGACATGCAGTGGGACTTCATATGAAAATCTAAGAACTGCTCACATGAAGAGGAACGGAAAAATATACGATGCTGTTCCTCCATAAAAAAGCAAAATCTTTATCTCAACATTAGAAAGCTGCTTCTTACCCAGATCTTTATTCCTGTCCTGCAGAGAAGAGACCGTAGCTCTGGCCGCATTGAGCTCACTTTCCAACGCCTTCATTTGGCCTTCAGTGGTAACATGCAGAAGGCTTAACTCCTGGATAACAGAAAAAAAAAAAAAAACGAGTTCACAAACACAGTCAAAACAATTGAGAAACTTTTCCTGCTGTTAAAAACGATTAAAAAGTGTTCATACCTTATTTTTAGCATCCAGGTTGTTCCGAGCTTCCATCAGCTCCATAGTGAGGGAGTTTATCCTCTTCTTTGTAGAATCAGCAGAAACCTGAAGACAAAACGTTTCTCTTTAACACTAGAACTCCAAGGCCGTCGTTTAGACGGTTCTCAGACTTTAAAGCGAAAGCAAAATGCCGCTGAAGGTTTTCAGTTATCCGCGTCATTTTTAAAAACCGAGGAACTACAACGGACAACTATAACGAAAGGTTAATCAGTCTTTTTTGCCAACTCCATTAACAGAACCTGTTCCTCTTCGATGTCTACCAACTCTAGATCCAGTTCCATGACTGTGATATCTTGCAGAAGCGCCATTACTGTTTTGGAAGA